TAGGCAACAGATATTATATGTACAATATTGAAATGAATAGAAAATTTTGAGCATCTAAAAAAATACTCCATAACTGAATATTACTAGGTAATGATGAGTGTCACTCACGTTCAGATGGTATGACTGATCCATTTAGTTGTCGGCTCAATCCAACAGCAAAGTCACACATATCAATTATTTCCTGCATAATTTTGCTTTCAAAGTTATATCACCTATCGATTCTAGGAAACAAAACGGCACTATAACTAAGTGGAAACCTTTTATATTCATTTGCATTAAGCATTGACCATATATTCCATATCCACAAATCCAAACAAACAATGACGGCATACACCATGATGAAAAAGTTTGGAGCTGATCATGAGTACCACTTAGCAGGCAATATGTTAGTACAAGAGGAGACACATTACAGAACAGTTTCAAAATTCTTGCAGAACAAGCCTTTGTTGCAACACGTGAGTAGTAGACTACATACTTGAACCTCCCCAATTCCTTCAGGTAGTATTTTTCCCATCTCGAGTGAAACAAGATGGCCAAGGTGATAGACCTTAGCTCTGAGTGCATCACCAATCTGCCTAACAATCTCACCTCTTTTTGGAGCAGGAATCTGATATAAATAATAACCCCCAGAGGTATAGTGAAGTCAATGTCACAAAATATAATTGTGCTCGTGTAATTGTATAATTGTATACCAGAAACATCATTCCTTCAGAACAGTGAACCATTCTGTAAATATAGGAAAATACCTGCATCCACAGCTTTGCTGCTTCGTAGCAAGCCCGCATTCCCTCTTCATAGTCACGGATTGAAGCTTCAACAACCTCAGCTATTGCCTAACTTAATAAAAATACATTACACTTAAAACTTTCAGAAAATCAACCAGTATGAGATGAGCTTAAGCTACGACCAAGAGTACATTGTGCTTAATCTTCATATTTAGTTTATAAAATAAAATCAGCACCGGTTCGTTGAAAGAAAACGACACAGTAACACGGTCCATCAGAACATAACACATATCATATCAGGAATATCCAAACAGGGCGAAATCCGTGCAAGCTCCATGCCTTTCCCGTGATCACAGTATTAGCATAACAAAAGCATAAAAACTAAAATCACATGAGTTTGACTTTCACATGAAATGACCTGATTGTTGGCGGGATTCACTGTATAGACGGTAGGACCACTCGCCTTCCAGACGCCATTGACATAACAGCCCAGGTTCTTAGGCCCAATTCCGACCTCCCTAAGGAACTCGTACTCTCTCTTCGCGAAACTCATCTCTGCAATTCTGCATTCAAAGTTACAGTTATTACAAGCCTAAATGATACTAAAGCGAAAACTGAAATAAAATACTCAGAAGAGGAAAGCTCACATAGCTGTCAATGGCTACACAAAATGGGCACAGCTGTGTTGATGATGAAGATGATCGATAGCTCAGCTGCTCAGCACTTCACAGTGAATCCAGCAAGGCTGAAATGAAGCAGAGACGTATGAGAATTGAATTGTGAATTTGTGGATTGGGACCCAAAATGTAGTTATTAATTAGTTTAAAGATATATTGCCAAACAACTTTTGTCAGTTAATTGTGGAATTTCTAATTTCATAATTAGCCATTTTATTACAATAATAAATGAGTACCCGGTGAAGGGTTGATGAGATCATTGATTCTTTGAACTAAAAATTATTGAGATTATAACAAATATTATTTTATAAGAAATAAGAAATTATGAATGTTTTAAAAAATAATAATAAATGAGTGTGGAGGTCTTAACGTCTTATCCACATGAACATTGATGAAATATTATTATTTGTGTAATAATTTAATATATCTTAATACTTTTATTTAATATAAACTGTTGAATAAAAAAGACATTGTATAGTTAAAATTGGATACTTGTTCATTTAAAACAAATAATATGTCAATGACTTTATGGTCTAGTAACACCAAATTGCTCGAAAAGTTTTTGAGTAGGTTGTGCGTGCTTCAACTTGGGAAGACAACTAAGGAGACCATGAGGTAGGCAAAATGCACTGATGAGAACGGGAGATCGAAAAATGCACTTATTATGAGATCGAAAAGTACATAAATGTGGTCAAAAATACCCTAACAATATCAACAAATACATTTATGAGCTCCATAAGGCAAGTGAGTTACTCACTTACTCTATAACCCTATCAATATATTTTGTCAAAAAAAAAAAATCAATATAGAACATTTGTGTCACTGGCATTTTTTACTTCACCTCTAATTAATATAACATCACAAATTCGTTTATAATTATATATACTAAACACTATAATTAAAATTATCAGTAATTATAAAAAGTTGTCAACAAAATAGTTGCCTTCTTTGCTGACAAAAACCAAAGATGGGTTGGGTGGCAGTCAAAGTCGACAGTAGCAGCAGGATAAGAGGCAGGGGTGCTCGATGCGGTGGAATCGTGAGAGACCATATAAAGGAGCTGGGATTGTGGGTTTCCAGCAAGATCTTGGCCTGAAGTGGCTGAAGCTTAGGGCATTCTCTTGCGTTTAAAAGTTGCTTGGCGTATGAGTTATACCATGGCGATTATTCAGAGTGACTCTGCCAACCTGGTTAATTGGTTTAATGATCCTTCCATCAAAGCAAGATGTGGTGGCATTATGAACAATGTTATTCTTGAGTGTAAAAACTAGATTGATAAGTGCTGATTTGCTAGGTGTGTCCATATTTGCGGGAACAAAATCAAGTTGCGGACTGAATTGTGAAGAATCGTGTTTTGAGTCCAGATTTGGTTCTCCTTCATGATTGTCCGAGCGGCGAATTTGAAGCTCATGTCATGAGAGACAGGACCGGAGCCCTTGTGCTCGTGATGATTAGCTCTTTTGCTCTTTATGTTTTTGTTTTCTTGGGACTTTGCCCTTCCATGTACCCAAAAAAAAAAAAAATAGTAATAATGTTATAGCCTTGATTTTGTATTTTTTTTTTTAAATTTATGACTTTATTACCATGTAGTATCTGTTCATAAACTACCTTTTTAACATATTGAAACACAAAGAGATATGAATTCAACCTTGATGCCATTAGACCACAAAGTCTTGTATGTTATAGCCTTGATAATTCTTCAATGCAAGACAAAAGGGGAGCCTTGAGGCTCCTTCGGTGTAGGCTTCCATTTTTTGTTTTTTCTCCTTCGTTTTCTTCTTGTTTGTTTCTTCTTCTCCTTTTGAATAAATAATAAATGTAAATAAAATAAAGTTTCATTCATGAAAATAAGTAATAAAAATAAAATGTTATTTTATTTTTGTATTTATTTGTTGAACATATTAAACAAAAATAAAATAAATATAAAAATAGTATTTATATTTTTTGGTCTAAATATATATAATACTCCGTAGTTGTTTACTATCCTCATGTCAAAATCAACATTTTTAAAGATACTATGCTGCTCAAACCGAATGATTATATACAATCTTCTTCTCCCATATGATTATATATACAATCTGTTACATGTTTTGAAGAGTGAAGATTTTACTCTTTATGAACGTTGTTGACTTGTTGGTGTGATGGTGTCATGTGACTGAGATCTTTTTTTAGTGTTTGTTTTTTAGATGCAAATCATGCAACAAAATCCTCACAAAGCAACCAATAAAAAACTCTTATCTATCATCTCAAAGAATCACTAACAGGTCGTTTGGTTGGAGGGAGAATTACGTGGGAAAATAATTGTAATTCTATGGGAGATGAATTACTGAGAATAAAGTGGGAATTTAAATTACAGTGTTTGGTTTACAGAAATAGAATTATGAGAATTTCAATTCCAATGTTTGGTATACATGAGAATTGAAAGGGAATAAGTAGTATAAAGTAAAAAATGTCCATTGTTGTTATTAGGCATTAATTTTAAGTTAAAAAAGAATGGGTAATTTTGACTCATCACTATCTTTTTTTTTTCTTTCTAAAATCCCAGGGGGACATGTGATATTAATTCCATGAAAATGGGGGAATTGCAATTCTATGGAATCATGAAATTGCAATTCCTTTCAACCAAACAAGGAAATTTGTGACCTTTGGAATTAGGTGAGAATTAAGTGGGAAGATAATTTAAATTCTCTTCAACCAAATGCCCTGTAAAGGTTGCATTTGGTTAGGAATTTTATACTTTACTATGAAATTTAATAGATACTCATAACCATATTTGTTTGCTTACTTTTGTTATCATGAATTCAGATCTTTTAATAATTATAAAATAAATTACCCTTCTAATTCTATACTTTTGAACAATAAAATAAAAAACAAAGTAAAAAAAGAAAAAAAAAGTCATTACCCATACATTAGATATGAATTTTTAATATATATATATATATATATATATATATATATATATGTGTGTGTGTGTGTGTGAATTATATATTGTTATATATTTATTTATTTATATTTTAATTAATTAATTAATTAATTATTTGTTTGTTTTGATTACAATTTCCCTTACTCATTATCTTGTCAAATCTTTTCCAACACTCAATCTACACTCTTACCACTCTCAAACTAACAAACTTTATAGATCGATAATACCTCGAATAGCTCCGGAAATAATGTTAGCAATAATCAAATTAATAATCTTACACTACAAGAATAATGCTCTATCACTACTCCGTTAGTACGATAAATTATTTTGTGAACCCGGATCTATATTGTAAGCTGAACTCGTGTTTAAAGTACATAATTTACCTATGGAATGTTCACAATTCTGTTAAAGGTAAATTATGAACATTAAGTATGTAAATTGTGTAAATTTAATATATAAATTATGTATTTTGGACTCGGGTTGATGGTATAACGACTCCTAGCTACCCTTCAGGCATAGTAGATTACTTTTGTCCCCCCTTGTTAAAGAAGTAGACCATATACAACAACCAGATGAAGTATGGGCAAGAAATCAAAAAAAAAAAAGATGAAGTATGGGCAAAAATAGTTAGGTGCCAACTGCCAATTTGCCATACCAAGAGTATTGACAAGGCCACGAAATATCTCGGAACGAGGGAAGGAAATAACCAATATGTGCCCTTAACGTGGCCCAACAATCCACCAATCAAAGCGTCTCTATCTGGCTTTATGCCCCCATCTTCCCCTTTATGAATATTCACTCAGTTCAGTCTCCAGCTATCCATTCCACTATGTCCGGAGCTCACAGACTGGTAACTTCCATGGCTGTTCCCTCTCGTGTTTCCTCCTTACTCTTCATATTCCTCTGTTTCGTTTCGGTCACAGTTGCGGTCTCATCGGAAGGTTGGGAGACTTTTATCGTCCTCGTTTCGAAATCGGAGAAGCCACACGTCTTCTCCACTCATCATCACTGGTATTCCTCCATAATCCGTGCCATATCTCCTCTCTCTCGCCACCCATCTGAGCTCTTGTACTCGTATGGCCGCGCCGCGAACGGTTTCTCTGCCCGGCTAACGCCCTTCCAGGCGTCTCAGCTACGGAGCTTTCCCGGCGTGATCTCTGTCCTTCCGGATAAAATCCGGCAGCTCCACACCACCCACACGCCTCAGTTTTTAGGCTTGGCGGAATCGTATGGCCTCTGGCCAAACTCTGATTACGCCGATGATGTTATAGTGGGGGTTCTGGACACCGGAATCTGGCCGGAGAGGCCCAGCTTCTCCGACGAGGGGCTATCACCAGTTCCTTCCGGCTGGAAGGGTAAATGCGAGGTTGGTCCTGATTTTCCGGAGGCTTCGTGTAATCGGAAAATCATCGGCGCTCGTGCTTTTTACAAAGGGTACGAAGCTGGTCGTGGAAGCCCGATCGATGAATCTGAAGAATCGAAATCGCCTAGAGATACGGAAGGCCATGGCACACATACTTCCTCCACGGCAGCTGGATCTATTGTTCCGAACGCGAGTCTTTTCGAATACGCGCCGGGTGAAGCCCGAGGCATGGCGATAAAGGCTAGAATAGCGGTTTACAAAATTTGTTGGAGCTCAGGCTGTTACGATTCTGATATACTCGCTGCGATGGATCAAGCGGTTGAAGATGGTGTGCACGTGATTTCACTTTCCGTTGGAGCGTCCGGCTACGCTCCGCAGTACTACCGTGATTCCATCGCGATTGGAGCTTTTGGTGCGGCGGAGCACGGCGTCCTAGTATCCTGCTCTGCTGGAAATTCTGGTCCAGATCCCTATACTGCCGTGAACATCGCGCCATGGATTCTCACGGTTGGTGCTTCCACTGTTGATAGGGAATTCCCGGCTGACGTGATATTAGGAGACGACAGGATCTTCAGTGGCGTGTCGTTGTACTCCGGCAAATCCCTAGGCGACAACAAACTGCCGGTAGTCTACGGTGGTGATTGCGGCAGCAGGTACTGTTATTCTGGTGCACTGGACACTTCAAAAGTCACCGGAAAGATCGTGTTGTGTGATAGAGGAGGCAACGCCAGAGTCGCCAAAGGAGCAGCAGTAAAAGATGCCGGCGGCGTCGGAATGATCCTCGCTAACTTGGCCGATTCCGGTGAAGAGCTTGTGGCCGATGCGCATCTGATCCCCTCATCGATGGTAGGTCAAACGGACGGAGACAAAATCCGTGATTACGTGAGATCCGATCCATCTCCAACCGCCACAATCGAATTTCGCGGAACCGTAATCAGTTCCTCGCCGGCGGCGCCGCGAGTGGCTGCTTTCTCAAGCCGCGGCCCGAACATCGTTACTGCTGAAATTCTCAAACCGGATGTGATCGCTCCCGGAGTTAACATTCTAGCGGGCTGGACCGGCGCCATTGGTCCCACCGATTTGGACATTGATACAAGAAGAGTGAACTTCAACATTATCTCCGGCACTTCCATGTCCTGTCCTCATGTGAGCGGATTGGCTGCCTTGCTTCGAAAGGCCTATCCAAACTGGACCCCAGCCGCCATCAAATCCGCACTCATGACCACGGCTTACAATGTGGACAACTCCGGGAGCAATATTACTGACCTTGCCACTGGCTCAGATTCCTCCCCGTTTGTTCATGGATCCGGGCACGTTGATCCAAACAGAGCACTGGATCCGGGTTTGGTCTACGATTTGGAAGTGAGTGATTATGTGAATTTCTTATGTACCATTGGCTATGATACTTCAAAGATTTCAGTGTTTGTGAGGGGGCCCTCTTCAGTGGATTGCAGCTCTAGGAGTTTGGGCACACCTGGGGCTCTAAATTACCCATCGTTTTCAGTTGTTTTTCAAAGTCTAACCAACCAGGTAAAATACAAGAGAACGGTTAAAAATGTAGGGAAAGACAAAAACGTTGTTTATGAGGTAAAAGTGAATGCTCCTTCGGGTGTGGAGGTTAGTGTGTCACCGACCAAGCTGGTGTTTAGTGAGAGTACTGATACGTTGTCGTATGAAATAACTTTCACTAGTGTTGGATCGGAGAATTTGAACGTTGTGAAATCAACGTTTGGGTCGATTGAGTGGACAGATGGGGTGCACCTTGTTAGAAGCCCGATAGCTGTAGTATGGAGTCTGGGGTCGCAACCTGCAGTTTCAATGTAGGTGAAATTGGCCTGTTTCATTCCATAAGTGCACAATGAACTGTGGCATGTAGGTATAGTATTGTAAGTTTCTGTGTTGGGTTGTTTATTTTGAACCACTGAATTTGGATGTTTTCATTGTTGATATGATGCATGCTTGCTATTAAGCTATTGCTCATGTTGTGGATGAAATTCTAATTGATGCCAAAGACATTTGATACAGCACAAAGAAGGGGCCTTTGTGGCCTTTCTAGTTGCACTTGTACATACAGGGATTAATTGTTTTCCTAATGAGAAACTAGTCACCCATCACAATCAACTCTTTCAGTGATTAGGAACTTCTCTCAGCAACAGTCAGTGCTGTAAAATGGATGAATATTATTTGGAAGCATTTTGTTCCACTAAAATTCTCTGGCTTTGCCTTAGAGACTGATTGGTTACACAGGATAACATTTTGCATTTCGACATATATTGCTGTTGTGCCCTTTGTGATAGATGATGGTCTGAATTCTGCTTGTTATGACTTAAGAACTTAAGGCGGTCATAAAATTACAAAAAATAATTAATGTCATATTCACAAAAATTTATACATATATTGTGAAAGCCAATAATCTTAGAACTACAATATGTCCATGTGGATGTGTTAGGTACAATTAATTATGAATCATTCATTTAGTGATGAGAATGATAGGCTATCTTATGAGGTAACTTCTATAAACACAAGATCAAAATGTTTTAATCAGTCATACGGATCGTCTGGGAAGATGGGGTGCATATTGTTAATTAGTAGCCCAATACCTGTTATTTGGGTAATGGGTTCACAATTTGCCAATCGTTCTATCCTACACCACGGCGCGCGTAGCACTATGTACCGCGCGCCTCCCAAAATGACGTCGTTTTGGGAGGCGCGGTAGGAAGTTGCTGTGATTATGTATATTTGTTCATACAATTATGTATATTTTTTATACAATTATGTACATTCTTTTTATACAATTATGTATATCCGAATCAGGAAATTTTTGTGTACTATGTTAAGAGTTGATATGTATTATGTTAAAAGTTTATGTTTATTATGTATTATGTTAGATTATGTGTATTATCTTTTAAAAAAGAGTATGTATATTTTGTTATATAATTATGTACATTCATGTATACAATTATGTTTATTCTAGTATAACATTATGTACATTTTTGAACATGGATTTTTTTAAAGAAAAATTAACTGTCAAACACTGGGGCGGGAAATTTCAAAAAAATAAAATAAAATTGAAACGACGTCGTTTTGCATCTGGGCGCACAATGCAACACGCGCCGTGGTGCAGGATATAAATTGCCACAATTTGCTCTTTAAATGTATGTAAAAATGGGCCTATTTTAGTTTTATGTATCCCATGACCCATGTGATGAACCTTCGCAAATTATGCTGTGGACTCGTGTCCACAACGCATTGTGGACACGAGTCCAAAACGATGGCATTCTAGTTTTAAAAAAAGTTGATTTTGTCTCGCCGTTAACGTCGTTAACGGCGTTATTCGTTTGTAGAATTATGAATGTACAGTTATTGAATTATGAACACAGAGCTTTGACATTATGAACATATAGTGAAAAAATTATGTACATAGAGCTCTAAAATTGTGAACATAGAGCTTCAAAAATTATGAATGTACAGTTATGAAATTATGAACACAGAGCTCTGACATTATGAACTTACAATAATGAACATATAGTGATAAAATTATGAACATAGAGCTTCGAAAATTATGAATGTACAGTAATGGAATTATGAATGTACAGTTATGGAAGCATGAATGTACAGTTATGGAATTATGAACACAGAGCTCTGACATTATGAACTTACAATTATGAACATATAGTGATAAAATTATGAACATATACTCCTATAACGAAGCGGTCTGAAATTAGTGGCACCGTTACCGTGTCCACAATGTATGCTGGACACGGGTCAATAGCATAACGATTGATGAACTTTCCACATGCTCTGTCGGGTTGGGTCGGAATGTGGGGGCCTTAGGGTTGGAGATTCAACCTTTTGGGACAATAACCTTCCACTTAAATTGATATGCTTTTTCTGGCAGCTATGTTAATGTCTTCTGCCCACATATGATCTTCTCAGAACCAAGCGTATTCAAGTCCCAACCACCTGCCAATTATGCAATGGAGATGATGAATCTTCTTCTTCTTCTTCTTCTTCAAAAAAAAAAAAAAAAAAAGATTACACAAGGCTTGACAAAGTTGCTATCTGTATCCTCTGCAAGGCAGATTGCCAATGGTCTGACCAAAGCTCTTCCAACATCTCTGTTTAACTCCTTCCTATCTAAGCTGGGCATACACAATTTGCATGCTCCAGCTTACGGGGGTGTTGGAGGATGAAAATAAAGAAGCGGGAAAGCTTAGCATAGGGAGATTATTGTCCTTTCCTATCCTTCTCCCTTTCTGTTGTAACCGGTCAAAACATTCATCTTCTATATATATAAATGACAAGGGAGTGTCTCCCTCCGTTCTTATCTGCATCTTCATCAGCCGATTTCTGTGAATGTAGCATTCACTCATATATACTCACTCCGAGCCCTTCATTCTTATCTGCATATTCTCATCACATTTATTGAATTAATGGAGTTATTAAATGTTATGATATTATGATTAAGGATTCCGATTCCCGATTAATAAAAAATATGAAACGATGCAATATTAATTAAATCTACTTTACAATGAAAGTCTATTTGATATGCTTTTGTTATTTATGGTGCTTTTTGAAATTACAATATTAATTAAATTTTCGATGAAAGTCTGTTCGATATCTGAAATAGTGCAATTAATGCAAACCTCTATATATAATTTTTCTCCCTCTTAAATGCTTCAAAGAGATAGCAGAAGCGAGAAGGGATGAAGAAAGCAAATGTTGCGGGCCGTAGGTCAATTATTAGACTTCAGAATAAAAAAAAAAAATCATTTGAGCCATAAATAAAAAATTTAAATATATATAAATAAATAAATAAATAAATAAATATATATATATATATATATATATATATATATATATATATATATCGTATGTGTCTTTAATATTTTTCTGAATTTCTAAACTTAGGACTTTTAAAATAAAAAAAATACATTTGAATTATCTCCACAAAAAGTGGTCTTAGGCTTATAGAATGACATTTGGGTTTATTGAATGACATGTGCATAAAGAATATATTATATAATCATATAAAAAAATGTGTTCAATTAGAGTTTAAATTTACTCATACAAAATTTGAAATTTACTTTCTAAATGTAATTATCTTAGTTATTATTCGTATTATGAAAATTATAATATAGATGAAATACAATTAAGAATAATTCAATGTAATTATGTAAATTCCCTCTATAAGTTTATTTGAATATGTACATAATTAGAGATTATATTAACTATACAAAATTTTAATTTTAATTTTAATTTTGTATTCTATAAAAAAAAAAAAAAACTTTACCAATGGAAGCCCAAAAATATTATTATATTAAACAATTTAAAATATTTTTATTTTTTCTATTTTTTATTTATATTTATAATAACATAATTTTTTTCCCGTGCATCGCGCGTGTGAATTACTAGTGAGAATAAATATAATGTTTTAAAAATACAAAAATAAAAATCAAGACATTATTGAATCAATAATACAATGATATCCAAAGCATCAATATAAACAAAAAAAAAATCTAAAAGTACTAATTCAAGTTTAAAAATTAGATTATTAATCAGATTGAATGATACCCTTTTTTTAATTATGGAATGAGATTTTTAATTGAAAGGGAAATCAAATCCCATAGTTGTGACCAGGACTATGTGGTCTAATGGTATCCGGGTTGGACTTCCATTTAGAAGGTTGTAAGTTCGAGCCTTAGTGGAGGTATTATTCGCTCTTTGTGTTTCAGTAGGTTGAGAAGAAAAATTATCAACCAAACACTAAATATGATTTTGATTCTCATTCCTAATGTATAAATCCATGAACCAAACACACCATTAATATCCCACCAGTATTTTATGGCATGTTATACATTTATAATGTATCAATAATTGTAATACATAGTTTTCGCATGCTAGCCATGTTTGAATTGAATCATTAATTCATTCAACTACCAGTTCAATTGTTCTTCAGCCATATCATTCTATTCACATGCTGAAAATAGGGTTATCTGCAATATTTACAGAATAATGGTGGCCTGGGAAGAAGCTAGAATACACACATAAAATGGTAAGAGAGTGTATTGACGATAAGAAGAAGATATTCAAAAAAATATATAGAGTCAATGTAAGGATCGGATATCCTTATCCTTAGTACTACAAGGTGGATGTCCTTGCTACACTTAATTATGAATCATTAATTCATTTAGCTACCCAACCTCGTTGAAAATATGGTCAGGAGTTCAATTGTTCTTTTGCATGCTGAAAATCCTATACCTAGCTCCTTAATTCTTCACCTATATATTCAGCATTATTTTTCTGTATTCATCCACACCTGGCCTGCCTTTACATGCATGCAGATCAGATCAATGGGTGTTCCTTCCAATTCTCTCCCTTCCTCCTTTCTCTTCATATTCTTCTTATTATGTACTCTCCTTTCTTCTTCTACTGTAGTTTCAGTAGAGGAGGAGGAACCGGGGAGCTTTATCGTTTTCATGATGAAATCTGAGAAACCCAGGGCTTTCTCCACCCATCATCACTGGTATTCATCCATCATTCGTACACTTTCCCCCCTCTCTAACCACTCATCATCATCTCAGCTCTTGCACACCTATGAACGTGTTGCCCATGGCTTTTCTGCACGCCTCACGCCCTCCCAAGCGTCTCAACTACGAAACGTTCCCGGCGTGATCTCTGTCCTTCCGGATCAAATCCACCAGCTCCAAACCACTAGAACCCCTCAATTTTTAGGCTTAAGTGACAGTGACCCATCTGGTCTCTGGCGCATCTCTGATTACGGAGCTGATATTATAGTGGGTGTTCTCGACTCCGGAATCTGGCCGGAAAGGCGTAGCTTCTCCGACCAGGGTCTATCTCCCAGGCCTAGCAGTTGGGTGACCAAGTGCCAGGTGCGTCCAGATTTTCCGGCGACTTCGTGTAATAATAAAATCATTGGTGCCCGTGTGTTTTACAAAGGCAACGTAGCTGCTAGTGGAAAGCCAATAGACCAATCAATGTTATCACCCAGAGATATGGAGGGCCATGGCACACATGTTGCCTCTACTGTAGCTGGATCTATTGTTCAAAACGCTAACGTTTTGGGATACGCACAGGGTGAAGCCAGAGGCACGGCAGTAAAAGCCAAAATAGCAGTTTACAAAGTTTGCCATGGCTCATTAGGCTGTTCCGATTCCGATATTCTTGCTGCGATAGATCAAGCTGTTATAGACGGCGTGCACGTGCTTTCGCTTTCCATTGGTAATTCAGCGGCTAGGCCGTACTATATGGACCCCATTGCAATCGGAGCTTTTGGTGCGGTGGAGCATGGTGTTCTCGTCTCCTGCGCTGCTGGAAATGATGGCCCCAATTCATTTACTGCTAGGAACATCGCGCCATGGATATTGACGGTTGGTGCTTCCACTATTGATAGGGAATTCCCGGCTGTTGTGACACTAGGGAATGGCAGGAGCTTCACCGGCACCTCCTTGTACTCCGGCGTACCACCAAGCTCAAACCTAGTTCCAGTGGTCTACGGTGGTAACGCCAACAGCCTTTACTGTCTTCCCGGACAACTTGACGCTTCAAAAGTCAGGGGCAAGATCGTGTTTTGTGAGCAAGGAGACGGTACTTCCATTGTTGATAAAGGAGTTGCTGTAAATCAGGCCGGTGGCGTAGGAATGATCGTTCCTAACCTACGTCCCTATGGTTACCAGCTTCAAGCCATGGCTAATATGATTCCCACTTCAGTCGTTACCGTAGCCGACGGAGAAACTATCCGGGGTTATGTAAGGTCGTCGTCGTCTCCATTGCCAACTGCTAAAATTGAATTCAAGGGAACAGTAATCGGAAATTCTCCGTCTGCACCGCGTGTAGCTGCTTTCTCAAGCCGGGGGCCCAATGTCATCACTCCTGAAATTCTCAAACCAGATGTGATTGCACCGGGAGTTAACATTCTAGCCGCCTGGACTGGCGCCATGGAATTCAATATTATATCCGGCACCTCCATGGCATGTCCTCATGTCACTGGATTGGCTGCCATGCTTCAAAAGCTCTATCCACTTTGGTACCCAGGTGCCATCAAGTCTGCACTCATGACAACAGCTTACACTGTGGATAATTCTGGGAAGAGTCTCACAGATCTTTCAACTGGACAAACATCCATGACCTATTATCATGGATCTGGACACGTTGATCCAAACAAGGCAGCAGATCCGGGTCTGATCTATGATACCGGAATTGAAGATTATGTGAATCTTTTATGTACTCTTGGGTATGATAGCAAGAAAATTGCGTTGTTCGCGCGGGATGGTCCTCTGGTGGATTGCAACGGCCGAAATTTGGGTAATCCCGGCTCTCTAAATTACCCGTCATTTTCGGTTGTGTTCACAAATTCTCTCAGGACAGTAACATACAAGAGAACGGTTAAAAATGTGGGGAGAATCAAGAACCCTGTTTATAATGTAGCCGTCACTGTTCCCTCCAGCAGCGTTCGTGTGACTGTGTCACCAACCACGTTGGCGTTTACTGAGACAAATAATGTACTATCTTATGAGGTAACTTTTACAACAACTGACCCGGCACCAACTGACTCGGTACTCGGGTCATTAGTCTGGAGTGATGGAACGCACGTCGTTAGGAGCCCAATAGCTGTGATGTGGCTAGCCGGGGGAGGGGCGGCTCTGAAGTCTGAACTCTAAATGCATGCATGAATGGGCCTAATTTGTTCCTATGTAGTCCATGTAATAAAATAAATATATTACGGTACGTGGATATATCCATAAATAAATGTATGCAATAATGGGCTTAGTTCATTCCTATGTAAACCATGCAATTAAATGAATCCACACATAATCTATTATTGTGGACAAATGTTTTTATGATATCATTATTATAATATATTATCCTTAAGTATATCTGATCTTATGAGTTTGATGAAATGAGATTGTATTGAAAGTATAATAGTTTATTAATGAGTCATATTCTAGTAGGTATAAGAAATTTATGTGATTTAGAGTTGTCTAAATAAATTAATTAGTTTAGTTTGGATTAGACATGCCAAAGCAAAATGGGTCGATTTGGCAAACACAACATGTCTATATTTTCAAGCCTAACTTGCCTAATGCCAGGCTAAAGTACACAACATACCCAATTTTTATAGTTTAGATCAACTTAAGAACTTAAGGTGGCCATAAAATTACAAAAAATAATGTCATATTCACAAAAAATTATACATATATTGTGAAAGCCTATAATCTTAGAACTACATTATGTCTATATATGTGAATGTGTTAGGTACAATTAATTATGAATCATTAATTTAGTGATGAGAATGATAGGCTATCGTATGAAGTAACTTTTATAAACGCGATATCAAAAGGTCTTGGATCATTGGTCTTGCATTAGAAGATGGGGTGCCCATTGTTAGTAGTCCAATAGCTGTTATTTGGGTATGTATTTTTATGAGTTCACAATTTGCACTTTAAATGTATACAAAAATGGGCCTATTTTAGTTTTATGGATCTGAGTATCTCATGTAATGAAATAAATTTACAAATATTTTGTCGTTCATGTGGGAATGGATGGTCCTTTGGTGGATTGAAACACGAGAAATTTGAGTAATCTAGCCTCTTTAAATTACCCTTCATTTTTCATTGTTTTCAAAAATAATTTTTAGACAGTATAGTACAATATAATAAAACGATTAAAAATGTGAGGATGATATAATATACTATCTTATGAGGTAACTTCTATATATAAGCGTTACACCAACTAACGTACGTGGCATTCGAGTCTAGTCTGGAGTCATGGGTTACACATTGTGAGTAGCCCAATAGGTGTGCTTTGGCAAGAGACTTTGCAATCTGAACTCTAAATGTACGCATAAATTGGTCTAGTTTATTTCTATGTTGCTCATGTTATAAATAATATGGTGGATATATCCACAAATAAATGTATATATATAATAATGGGCTTAGTTTGCTCCTATGTAGTCCATGTAATGAAATAAATCCACATATAAAGTATTATAACGGACAAATATATCTTTATGACATTACAATAATTATTGCAATCTCATTAACAATTATATTGCTACAAGTAGATACATCCAACAAGAACGATGAAATGTCATCCTATTTTTGTAAGTATAAGCATTCAAAAATTTCATAAAACTAAAGGTGTTGAGATACTCATCTAGCAGTTGTTGGTTGTACTTTTACCTCAAGGGATTAATTCTTCTAAAAGTATAAGTATATCAAGTGATGGACTCACACATATATAAATTTCATTCTATTTTTACACATGCATGCAAAACGGATCAAACCTCCCAATGTATACACTTATCAGCATTCCACCAATAAAAATTATAAATGTGTATAAAGATGTGGAAACCTGAGTTTTCATGCTGCACATGTCAATTCTAAATGAGTGTAAGTTTGTTTGGATTATTGTGTTTATGATTGACATGCTAATCCAAATGTACAGCTCAAATAAGGCCACGTTTGATGAAAATCACCTCGTGTCCTTATATATTATTTTCTTTCTTTCTTTTTTGAAAGAGATTTTTTTCACTTTTAATCATTTTCACATTGGTACTCAATTACTAATGTTTTCATATTTGGTTTTACAAATTTTAAAATTTACCACAATGAGCCCTCTTACGTAATTTTTGATCACTAACGACTAAGAGCATCTACATCAATATATTTTTTGATGTTTTTGGAATTGTGCAAAAAAGATGAAGTGTTTTTTATTTTATTTTATGGAGGGCGATGTTTTTGGATGATTTTAACTCTTGCAAAATGAAGTTTTTTGCAAGTTAAAAAAATAAAATAAAATTAGTGAGATGTTCAACTTCAAGTGCGTCTTACTAGCCCGCCACTCTCAATTAATTAAGGCCATGTTTAAAGAATGACAGTGAGACATGTAATGAAATTGTTTGTTTTTTAAAAATTTTGTTAAATTTTTATTTTATTTAATTTTATTGTTAAATTCTTTTTAAGTTATGTATTGTAAATGTAAGTATATAATTTTGATACCATATTATTTGAATTGAAATTTTATAATTATATATTAAATTTAATTTTGACATACTTCATTTAAATATAAATAGTAATAATTATATTTTTAAAATGATAATAAATAAACATATAATTATAATATAATTTTTGTAGATGGGTGGGTACTATACACAAAAAAAACTTAAAATTAATAGGGAGAGATTTTTACGATTGAGTAAGATAGTAGATTATGATGTGGCCGAATGCTGGTTATTACACGTGCATAATAGTCATTTATATATCACTTATAACTTCCGACAACGTTATGAATTATTGTACATCACTATAAATGGTTGTAAAACATCATTCATCTGTCCACGCCATGCACGTTGGGAAAGTAGTTTTATGGTGATTTTATGTAGAGTTAATAACCAAAATGGCCCCTCGACTATGTCATAATTACAAATTTGGTCCTCAACTATTATTCTTATCCAATTAAGTCCTCAACTATGCAACTTTTACTCAATTAAGTCCTCAACTATACAATTCTCACCCAATTTAGTCCTCAACTATACAATTCTTACCCAATGTAGTCCTCTGTATTAATTTGACTATTTGTTGACTGTCAAAAGTTGGGATAAAATTATAATTTTACAAGATTTCTCCTTCCTCTCCATTTAGCAGCGTCAAACCATGCAGCAATACACTTCGATCAGATTTCGATCGTCAAAAAATCGTTGGAAATCAAATTCATGGGCTATCCGATGCATAACCACTACTTCGATATTGACAGGTTTAGAACCCAACCGGAGCTTATTGCTACATGGTTTGGCGCTGCTAAATGAGGAGGAAGGAGAAAACTTGTAAAATTACAACTTTATTTCCACTTTTGACAGTCAACAAACAGTCAAATTGACAAAGGACTAAATTAGATAAAAATTGTATAGTTGAGGACTTAATTGGGTAAGAATAATAGTCGATGACCAAATTGATAATTACGACATAGTCGATGGACTATTTTGGGTATTAACTCTTTTACGTAATCACCTACCTCGATCTGCTCTTCGCCTATATCTTCAGCCTTCATCGTCATCAGCTATTCATACTCATCAATGGCGGTTCCCTCTCTTTCTTCCTCCTCCTTTCTCATCATATTCTTCTGTCTTGTTTCAGTCAGCCTCTCTGTATCATCTGAGAATCAGGAGACCTTTATAGTTCACGTGTCGAAACTCCAAAAGCCCCACGTTTTCTCCACCCACCGTGACTGGTATGCATCCATCATCACTGCCATTTCTCCTCTCTCCCCCCACCCATCTAAGATCTTGTACACATATGGCCGCGTCGTCCGCGGCTTTTCCGCTCGCCTGACGCCTTTCCAAGCGTCTGAGCTGCGAAAAGTCCCCGGCGTGATATCTGTCCTCCCGGATCACGCCCGCCGCCTCCTCACCACCCGCACGCCTCAGTTTTTGGGCTTAGCTGAATCGTCTGGCCTCTGGCCCAACTCTGATTACGCAGATGATGTTATAGTAGGGGTCCTCGACACCGGAATCTGGCCGGAGAGGCCTAGCTTCTCCGACGAGGGGCTATCTCCCGTTCCTTCCAGCTGGAAGGGCAAGTGCGAGAACAGTACGGATTTTCCGGAGACTTTGTGTAATCGGAAAATCATTGGCGCTCGTGTTTTCTACAGAGGCTATGAAGCTGCTCGTGGAAGTCCGATTGATGAATCGGTGGAATCGAAATCGCCGAGAGATACGGAAGGCCACGGCACGCATACTGCGTCTATTGCGGCCGGGTCGATTGTTGCGAGCGCGAGTATGTTTGAATATGCGCGTGGTGAAGCGAGAGGGATAGCGATAAAAGCCAGAATAGCTGTTTACAAGATTTGCTGGAGCTCAGGTTGTTACGATTCCGATGTCCTCGCCGCCATGGATCGAGCTGTTGAAGACGGCGTTCACATCATTTCGCTTTCCGTGGGACCTTCAGTCTACTGTCCGGACTACGATCAGGATTCATTTGCGATCGGAGCTTTTGGTGCGACGAAGCACGGCGTTCTCGTATCCTGTGCCGTTGGAAATGCCGGTTCCGGCGCAAATACCGCCGTGAACGTCGCGCCTTGGTTTCTCACGGTTGGAGCTTCCACTCTCGATCGGCAATTCCCGGCTGACGTGGTATTAGGGGACGGAAGGATCTTCACTGGCGTCTCGTTATACTCCGGCGAACCGCTCGGCGAAAACAAACTGCCGGTGGTCTACGGCGGTGATGCCGGCAGCAGGTACTGTTATTCAGGAGAATTAAACGCTTTAAAAGTCGCCGGGAAGATTGTGTTCTGCGATCGAGGAGGCATTGCCAAAGTCGAGAAAGCAGTTGCGGTAAGAGAAGCCGGCGGCGTCGGAATGATCCTCGCTAACCTAGCTAGTTCCGGTGAAGAGCTCGTGGCCGATCCTTATCTGATTCCAACGTCAAACGTCGGTGATAAGGACGGAGACAAAATCCGGAATTACATAATCTCGGATCCGTCACCAACCGCCACAATTGTATTCAGGGGAACAGTGATCGGAACCTCGCCGTCGGCACCGCGAGTGGCGGCTTTCTCAAGCCGCGGTCCGAATTACGTGACTCCTGAAATTCTCAAACCGGA